CCCCAAAACCCCAAAACCCCAAAACCCCATTAGTACAAGATTTAAACGTAAGTGATAAATTAATTCTTCAATCATCTTTTTTATTTATTCGCATTTTACTTTTTGTTTTTCTTACTACCCTTGACCTTAAAGGATCTGTCATAATTCATAGCTTTGAGTCTCTCAATCAAAATAGGATGGTGATGGTGATAGTTAGCATAACTAAATAAATTTTCAATGAATGGAACTTACTATTTGTCTGGATTCATGTTAGAAGCATTCTCAACGTGTATTTTGATTAAAGCTTAAGCAAGTAGATTTCCATAGCCTTAATCTTTTGAGAATTAATCAGCCTATATTATTTAAAGAAAATTTTACATACCTCAAATTCAAGTTTTCTCATATAGCTGACAAATAAATAGTTAATGACAAAGCTTATAGGTTAGTACATTCTCAAGAAGATGTATAGCCCGATGAAAGTCTAACTTATTTATAAAATAAATAATTCTTACAGATTTCCTGTCGAATCCAAAACTAATATAGATGTCCTCATTATTAATGATAAATGAAAGCAAAAAGAACATTACAAAGAATTAAACCTAGTAAGTTATTTTAAATAAAAAGGTATTAATACCCATGTAATAAGTAGCTATTGAATTGTGTGCATCTTGCTCCAATGGCCTAACTCATGTCCTAGAATAGCTACGATTTCGTCATTATTGCATTATTTTTGTAAGGTATCATATAAGACTATTCTTTTATTCTTGCCGAAGCCATAAAAATAAGCATTTGAATGAGCAGATCTAGAACTTTGATCAACAAGATAGAGTTTTTATAAGGGGAAATTTAGTCTTTTTGCCAAAGCTTCAATCTTTTCTCTTAGTTCTCCTTAAGGTAGTTCTGAATATTTGTTAAATAATGGTTGAATGAAATTGGGAAATATTTGAAGCATCACCAGATAGAAAACTACTAAGAATACAAATACATAATAGTAGAAGTTTTCCCCTCCCCACTCAATTATTCCCAAGATTAGATAGATGAAAATTGATCCAAAGAATACAACCAAAAGGAATGTTTTTACTTAATCTTTAACAAAGATTCTATATGTTTGTAAATCAATCTACTGCTAATCTTACCCAATGGTTTGCTTATTGAATCCGTGTCTCTCAGATATTACAAATGTTTCGTAGAGACTCCAGGGTAAAGATGATAACACATCAAAGATATGCAAGAAGCCAAGGAAAGCCAGAGTTCTGAGACTATCATCTTCAGGATTTAGGCCAACAGCAATGCATATCTCAGCTGAGAAAGCCCAAAGCCAGACGGGAAGTCTGAATATTTACCACACTACATTAGCTAAAATCCCCAAATAATCTTAAAGCATCTTAAATTCCCTATATATGTTCACAATTTGCAAATAGCATACATTTTATCTTTGTTGTGGCTTTAAGATTTTTTGAATTCTTTTTGTGTAACTAAATGCTCTATTTCCTTAGGAGTTTCATTTTCACAAAATTTCTTATATTGTCTCCAATTGAGGTAGAGTTCGAATAAGTAAACGAATAGTTCGAATGTAATAACGCAATAGAGATAAGGAAAAATTGGCTTTCTCATATCATATAGGGTATTCGAAGATATCGTCTCTGAAAATGCGGTAAAATTTTCAACCATTATTTCTAATTAAATAGTTAATTTATTAAATCAAGATTAGGATTTAATTTAAATTTTAATTAAAAATCAGTCATTAATACTTTTTAAGAAGATTTCAAAGCCAGTAATTCCTGAATTGTCAAATCACAGGTTGCTAACAGCTCTGATTACCTCAAGTTCACGATCTTTCAGAGATTTAAGTACATGCTCCTTAGCATCTGACTCAATTAATGACTTGTCTGGTATTTCAAACAGCATTCCTTCTTCCTCAGTGTCATTAATCTCCATCAAGTCTCTGTTCAATCTAAAATCATAATTTAGCTAGTTTTCGATCTCACTCTCAACATGATTCTTGTAGATATTAAGCACATTCTCATAAATTTCTTGATTTAGAAATTCTTTTGGAATGATATTCAGTGAGTATGTGGCAAATAGGATTACTGAAGTTTCCTCAGTTGTACTAACTTAATTGATTAGCAGATTTCTAAAGGTATCGTTTGAAATTAAAAATTCAGTAACATTTCGAGCATTGAATTAATCTTAGATGAGAATAAGCGTAGATACTACTCCAGCACTCACACTCACCCACTAAGTCTTCTCCTCTGCTTCAACCTAGTCTGGATTAGATAAGAATTTTGACTATATGGAGTTTTTCAAAAAATCAGCCAAAGATTTATTTAGGTCTGGTTAAGGATAGTTCCTTAAAATTAGCATTAGAAGCCTTATTGTGCCCATCACATGCTAAATTACAGTAAATGTATCTACCTTCTCGATAAAACTTCCAATAACTCTCTAACAGAATTATTAAAGGAAACCCTAGAAAGAAGGATTTGAAGGGTCAAGCTATCCAACAGAGTTTAAGGAAAGTAAAATTTCTTCCATTAGAATGAAGTATTTGAAAGCTTCTTCATCATATTCCGCTTGAATGGGGATATTCATTAGGATCTCATTAATTTGAGTTTAATATGTCTGTAAAATCGTTGTCTTTAATGTCTTGATCTACTCCTACACGTCTCTCTTAATGTCTAGATTGTTTAATCTTCTCAAAAGAACTAGTAGTAGAGTGATAGTAAACTCTCCTAAGACAGCATTTTAAGTTTAAATGGAGTAAAATACTTAAGCTAACCCTACATCATAAATTCCTTATGTGATCATTGGGTCTTACTCTACTATTGGTAATTTCTAAATTATGCTTATTGAAAGAGAAATTTACAGCTATAATTAGTGTCATAATTCTAACAATACTTTGAAGTGCTAAATTGATTTCATCCTCTTCTTTCTCTTCCTCTTGATTTTTATCTTCTTTTTACTTCAATTACCCTTGCTTTTCAGTGAAAAAATCCCATATTTGTTTGAGGAATTGAACTATCTAAACTATATGCTGTTGTTAAGAAGCATGTGATGCATATTTCTCAACTATAAATCTGTATAACTCTAGTATCTCATTCAGAATCTCAATGTTCTTGGTATAAGTCTGCTGAATCATCTAGTTGCACATTCGTACAACATCCCCTAAGAAATGAGAGTATGCATCAACTTTAAAATTCTATTGATTATAGAAATTCCTCATATACTCTACACAGGCCATTCTAATAGATAAATTAATATATTAAACCTTACTTAAGGCATAGATCTTTATTTTAATCTTCATCAGATGAAAAGATAATCATAACCTCCCTAATAAATTCTTCTTAAATCTTAAAGTCATTTTGCAATTATTCAAAATCAGATACTTAAGATAATATATGTAAAATCTTTCTTTTTACTATCAGATTATCTCTAGTTTTTAATTCTTCTCCAATAATTTGTAGTATTAATAATGAGTCGATATTTGTATCATCATTCAATCTGATCTCAAGTACTTAAAGCATAGCCTCTTTTTTAATGAAAGTCTCAGCATTTGAAATACCAGCTAAAGACTTGTATTACTAAACTAGTTCCTAGCAGAATAAATCTAATTGTTCTCCAAATCTCAGCTAAATACCAGCCAGGAGGTTCTTAGCCTTTTCTCTGAGTAAATTGCCTTTCACTTCATTACTAAGATACTTCATATGCAAGAAAAACTTCAATGAGTCATCTTTCCATAGATCAAGTTCTTCATTAGTTAGTTTTAGGTAGTTTAAAATTAAAGCTCTCATAATGTGATTGAGAGTTTGTGGAGTGAAGAACTGCTTCTCTAGATACTCCTCAGCTTATCCAGTTATTTCCGGATCTCTATCAGAAAAAAGAAGATCGCTTACCCAAATAGATGGGTTATCTAGTAATCCTCTAATGAAACTAATTCCAAATCCTAGAATATCCTCTGCTTTTAATACAATTGAGTCCTCAAAATTATACTGTACATTTTAATAGATAGTGTTTAAATCAACACATAACTAGGAGTTAAATCCAATCTAAGAGAAGTAATTGATGAAATTGCAAAATAGTCCAAAGTTATGTTTGTCTAGGGGAACTATATTCAGTAGCTTGAAAGTGAAAGAGCATAGATTTCTTAATAACTTTACATTTTACAGATTAGATAGAACTGTGCTAGAATCTGTTTGCAATACTTAAACAAACATTTCATTGACTACCTCAGCTTATTATAGTAAGATCTACAAATCTTAGTATTCTGTGACTAATTTAACTAGTTTAAGGGCTTTTGTTATTATCTTTAAATCTTGAATCGGCAGCTTTAAAAATTATAGGGGCCACTGTGCAACTTTAAAAGAATTTAACTTTGCTTTTGATAATTCGTTCATTATAGTTAATGAGTGCTTTAAATACTGAAGAGCTTTTGTAGGATCATTGTTCAAATTATCAAACACATTAATCTCGATGAATCGCTAAATATATTCTGGTAATCTAGAGATTTTTAAAGAGAATTAGATTTACTGTTGCATTGTGGAGTGTTTTTTAAGAAGTCTTCCTATGCATATCGCTGCATGATCAGAGATTTTCTTTGATCTGCTCAATATTATTGGGTTACTTAATTCAACTAATAGAGCATTTGAATGACTACAAGATAATAAAATAAATAATTTTTACTTTTCATCCTTTAGAATGTTAGGTAAAATTTAGTTCTTAAGATAGATCATCCCTCTCATACCATCATCATCATTGACACCTGTATTTTACAATGATTATAATAATGATGAAGTCAATAAACCCTAATCTTAAGATTTAAGGTAAACCTCTGCCTATTCTCTGTCTGATTTATTTAAGGATTCCAATGTAGATAAAGCCTAAAACATAGTTTATTAATTCCCGCCAATAGTTTCCATTAAAGTTAATAAATAATAAATAATTATAATTCGTTTCAGAGTAATCTATATTAATTTAAAGAAAATCAAATTTAACTTAAAATATCAAAAAATGTCGAAAGCAGGAACTGAAACAGTAAAGGTCATGGTTAGAGTAAGACCTATGAATTCCAAAGAAAAATAAAGAGGTATCTATTATAATTTTGCTTCACGTTTAATAAAACTAATAGGTTGTGTTTCTTGTGTCTAAGTAGATTCCACTATAAATTAGATTTGTATAACGAAGCCAGATGAGGCTTAAAATGCTAAAGTTTTCTCTTACGATTCAGTGTACGATGTAGATTCCCTTCAATAGAATGTTTATGACGAAAGTGCCTTTCCATTAGTTGAATCAGTTATTGAGGGCTATAATGGTACAATATTCGCATATGGGTAAACTGGTTGTGGTAAAACACACACAATGCTTGGTTATCCAGATATTCCTGATTTGAGAGGTATAATTCCGAACTGTTTCAATCACATTTTCGGATTTATTGATAGCAATACTGAAGGGACTAAGTTCTTGGTTAGATGTTCCTATCTTGAAATCTACAACGAAGAAATTCATGACTTACTTGTAGATAACGGAAGAGGAAAAGAACCTTAAAAACTTGAATTGAAAGAAGATCCTAACAGGGGACTTTTTGTTAAAGATCTTAATTGTCTCATTGTTAAAACTATTCCAGAAATGGAAAAAGCTATGAACTTCGGAACTGGTAATAGAAAAGTTGCTGCAACAAATATGAATGATACTTCGTCCAGAAGTCACTCTATATTCACAGTTTATATTGAAACTGCTAGATAAGTCAATGGTGAACAAAGAATCAAAGCTGGAAAATTGAACTTGGTCGATTTAGCGGTAAGATTTTATTTCTTTCTAAATTAAAATTCAGGGTTCAGAAAGGCCAAGTAAAACTGGAGCTGGTGGTCAAACATTAAAAGAAGGTATTAAAATTAACTTGTCTTTAACTGCTCTTGGTAACGTTATCGGTGCCTTGGTAGATGGAAAATCTGCCCATATTCCCTATAGGGATTCAAAATTGACCAGATTACTTCAGGACTCATTAGGAGGTAACACAAAGACAGTTATGATTGCAGCTGTATCGCCAGCAGATTATAACTATGAGGAAACTTTATCGACTTTAAGATATGCTTCAAGAGCTAAAGCAATAAAGAATAAGCCTAAAGTAAATGAGGATCCAAAAGATGCCTTATTAAAAGAGTATGAACTGGAGATTAAAAAGCTTAGAGAAATGCTGCAACAGTTAAATCAAGGTGGCTAAGTGAATGTAGTCAAAGAGATTCAAAGTTTTAAGCAGTAGATTTAGGAAGATCATATCAAGATGGATGTGGAGAATTTGGAAATATCCTCAGATAAAAATAAAAATAGCTCTTTGCCTAAGGAGGAAACAATTGAGGATCTCATAGCTAAACTGGAATCTAAAGGTAAGAAAGTTGTTATCAGAGATGAGAATGATAACATCATCGAGGAATAACCATCAGAAATTTAAATAAATACAATCTAAAGCATGATAGACTCTAATCAGTAAATCTAGGTATAACAGCTAGCCCAAATTTAGCAAATATTACCTCAATAGTAATAGTAAGTTTAGGTTTAGACTGTTACTGAAGAGTAGTCGACTAAGGCTAGCATTAAAAGTAAAGATTCAGCAATCATCAAGCAACAAGAGCTGTTAGAGGCCCAAAATAAAGAGTAGCAAGAAAAGATTTAAAATGAACTGGTGAAAAAACAATAAGATTTAGAATCAGAAAGATAGGAAAAAGAACAGCTTGCTAGGTTGATCTAGGAATTAGAAAAAAAATTAGTAGTTGGTGGATAAACATTAGAAGAAAAAGAACGTGAATAAGTTAAAAAACAAAGAGAAATTTAGTTGTAATTAAGACAAGAAAAGAAAAAGTAAAAGCAGCTCTTAGAAGATAAGCGTAAGAAAGATGAAGAAATGCTCTTAGTTGAAAGGAATTACAAAAATCTCCAGGAGGAAGTAGATGACATGCGTGAGATTATTAAGAAGTTAAGAGATAAGTACAAATCTGCTTAGTAGGAGATTTAGGACTTACAATAAGAAACATAGTTCAATAAAGAAGACCTCTTAGACACAATTAGGTAGTAAGATAAAGATGTGAAATTTGCTAACAAAATTATGCAAATTTTATTGAGTGAGAATGAGTCGTATAAGATAAAGCAAAGATCATAATGGGATGAGAATAAACAAGACTGGAAAGTACCTTTGTTCTTCTTAGTCCCTTACTAGAAAGATGTCTAATTTCCAAATATAAATGCCTAATGTAAGGATTATAAAGTTAGTTTAATACAATTTATAGCAAGAGTTAATCAAGCAAAGGATGATAGAGATATTCAGTTTGAAGATGAGACAGATAAAATGTTATAAACATAATCTAAATTACACTAATTGAACAATGGAAAGAAAATTGGGCCTTAAAAGAACAATAACTCTGGTCTAGATTAATATATGCAAGCACATTCTGGTAACATAACAAGATCATTGGATGGAAGTGAATAATTAGAAGAGGACGATTAAGATTAAGTCAATAACTCTATGATTCCAAACGTAAACAATTATTAAATCCCATAATCATGTTTTAGAAAAAGAAACCTTTCAATCCCCAGAATTATTAGCCTAAAAACATAAAAGCAGGTTCTAATGTTAACTCGAATGGAAACATTTCAAATGAAATACCAGATCGCCGTCGAAAATACTTGAATAGTATAATTAAATTTTTAACAGCATATAGATATTACAACTAACGATGAATAGGAGGAAGATGATACTTAGAAGAAGAATCGTCTAAATGTGCACTTGTAGCCAATTCAGCCATAGCAAATGCAAAATAGAAATCTCTCCATGCCTCATCAAAACAATATGAAGGTCGACCATGATTAACATCCCTTGAACTTTGCACCATCTTAAAAAACGAAGCCAAAACTAGACACTATAGATCACTAAAACTTTAAAATAAATCAAAATACAGTACTGCAAATGGAGTAAAATGGCATAAACACCTTAATAGCTAACCTACCTTCTCCTAACCACGCCATGTAGAAAAAGAATAAACTAGAGCCACTTTAAAAGCAGTGAATAATTTTAGATTACCATAATACTATAGCAATTCATACAATCAGAGATTAATAACCTCCAATAATTTAATTCCATTTATATTTTAATCACCAATATAAAGCCATGTATAACTCTAGGGGTTTTGGGGTTTTGGGGTTTTGGGGTTTTGGGG